CCATAACCAATCACGTAGTCCAGATTTTCAGTATTCATCTCATAGTTTGCATTTCTTATCAATAGCTAATTTTTTGAGTTAATTTTTACTAAAAATAATGTTTTTCTAATATTTTGCAAAGTGCAAATTTGTGCATTAATGTGAGACTATAAATGAAAGTTGTTTAATAAGGATTTTCATGAAATTGTACAGCTGCAGTGTTATTTAGCCGAGAGGAAATTAAGGAATATTTAAGTGATACGAAACTATTGTTGACGATTTTCAGGCAGTCGTTATCTGTGCCAACTAAATAATTTCAAAAAGGTTTGTTAAAACCACCTACAAACCACTAATTCAACGAGGTTTCAGATTAAGTGATAACATGCTGCTAAAACTTTTATCATTCACATGAGAAGCAGCAGTTTAACTAAAGCATGCAATCTCATTTTGGAACTATTTTGCCGGTTTGGAAGTTGAAAACGCGTTATCAATCTATGTGTACCTCATTCGTCACCTAGCGCCTATAAAACACCGGCCTGTTTCACGATTGTCTTCATAACTTAGTGTGATTTTTCCTTTAATGAGTGAATTCCACATTTCAAGAACTATATTTTATTCTTGAGTGGTGGTTTTCCCTTTTACCACACTGAAAGTATTCCTGGTGGATTCCAGGACCCCTCTCCTTAATTTAAATGCAGAATGTCTGGTAATGGCCCTTTTGAAGGATGAAGTCTGAGATTCGTATTAATTATTGACTTCGACAGTGACAATAGAATACTAATGCTTTTGTCATCTAAACCGTAACGAACTGAACAGAGTATCTGAAGATCAGAATGATTATTTTCCAAACAATGCATTTGCAAGTGTCGAAAAAATATTGAACACTCCAGTGGATCTAGAAGCCATATTCTGTGATTTCCGCAAAGTTGCCCCCGCGGCAGAGGACGTTCAGATTGGTCCTAAAAAAATAGGACAAATTACCGCTTTTACTTTGTCTACATTAGACAAAATAATCGGTTTTTTACTCTCCATAGCTGAAATAGGCGACATTGATCAGTTGGAAGACTACCTGGGAACTAACGGATCGTTGGCAGATCTGAAGATGTTCGAGAATATGACTCCGCGTGTTGAGGGTAAAATCCGCGAGCTGTACAAAACTCTTCGGCAAGTTGACCTGCCTCTGCCTCTAGGCCTTGTTTGCCTGGTCCTCATAACATTTGACTAATGCTTATCAAAAAAGGTTATTGGAGTTTAAAACAAAAAAATTAGTTGTAGGTGTTTCTTTGCCTAAGAATAAACGCACTCTGATTTTTGCAAATTTTGAGTGGCAGATAAATTGACCGGTTCGCAGATGTAAGTTGCCGTGCCATATCAGGACAATAAAATTTGGGTTGTAGTGTTTGGTTATATCCTTCTGGAGTATTGATAATGGCTGCTAATAGTCACGAGGAGGGGCAACCGAAAATAGTTGATGCCACTGCTTTCATATGCGACTTTTCACTTGGTTAAAAAAGGGGAGTAAGTGCTAGAAATATTTATAGGCATATATATATTTTTGAATATTTGTTGTTTGAATAGGGGCATTTAAAAGCAGTATATGACTCCCAACTCACGAACATTCACAAGCGCCAACTCATTATGTGTTTAGAATAATTAAGCACTTATTAAAAGTATTTGTTGTTCTCCATGTCTCAAAAAACTTTAGCTTTGCCGTTTCCCGAGACTTCCCTGAGGTCATAAAATTCAAAAAGTACGGCAGATTCATTGGTATCATGGTTTAGAGCTGATTTTATGAACAAGCATAAACCCATCACAGTTTTAGTGTTTATGGTTTAATATGTAAGAAGGACCTTCATCTGTCGCTTTCTCTCTATTACACCTTTGAAAATGCCCTTACAGAACTCCACTTAAAGCTCATACTTTGAGCTGAAAAGCAGTTGGGGAAAATAAATCTCAAGATTGTACAGAAAATAAATCTTTCACGAAAGGTACGATGATTACACAGTCGTAAGTTTAAGGTGTTTAGTAGCGGGAAGCACTGCTGAGTTCATTCAAATGTGTAAAAAGCACTCGTTTTTCCAATTATAGGAGGAGTGGTCCAAAATGAAAGTAATCACCCATTAGCTAATGATGGAAAACTTCTTAGGTGTCTGATGAACAGGTAATTTAAAATAGCATAACTTTCTGACCAGAAGTTTGGTCAAATTTGTGATGCGTTAATCAAACTACGATAGTGAGTTTTAGAATAATTTCTACTTGTGAAAGATGTAAGGTAAAGTGAAACATGACATTTTCCCCTACTTTTTACTTAGATTTTAGTATACGCAAAATCTACAAATCTGGTTATTTGATATTTGATAGGGACTTTTATTGATGTTTTGCTAAAGGAACTGCTGAATTTATTCGAAATTTGTATAAAAAGGCCTAATCAAAGTGAATCCAAATTGCCCATTATAATCAACCTCAATTTATAAGAACTGGGGTTTGCATAAATTCTAGTTATACTTGAAAATACTTTCCTGCTTTTCTCCCTCCAAAATGGAAATTAAGGTTTTATCCGGAATCCACACCTAAGAATTTCTGGTACCGATCATAATATGCATGATGTTGGTCTTAAGTTTATCTAAAATTAAAAACAGTTTTAACTTTATAGGGGACTGTCAGTGTCCGAAGCGGAGGGAAAATTTCTAGAACGAGCATCAGGAATGGAAACGTATGGTGTTGAACCCGTGTTTGTGCAGGTAAGCTGAATTAGTCTTGTTCCTTATACAACAGATATTAGTTGCGCATACCACAAGAGCTTCAGTAATTTGTACTTCGTTGATTCTCACCTTACTAGTGTTAGATGTTCTCGAAATATGGAGGATAAGTCCCAAAACACTGGCGATTTTTTGAAACCCCTTTTGGACACCTGTTTATAAAAACCAATCAAATTATAAGACTTTAAAACTGAAAAGAGGTAGTGAATTCATATTTGGCGGTTGTGATCGGGAAGACATTTTATACATATTTTTACTCGTTTAAAGTAGTTTCCATCCTATTAGATTTATGCGCACTTTAAAGTAGACGCCATTGTGATGAAGATGTCAGAACCAGTTAATTTTGGCTATTTTGAAATGTTGAAAGCGAAGGGTACGATTTAACTTTCGAGATATTATTAATAAATTCCGTTTCTTCTTGCCAACACACGTGTCGCCACAATTTACAAAACTTTTGGAGCTTCAAATGCGTACATTATGATTAATTCACGAAATATATTTTCTTTATACGTACTAGTGATATTGTTTTACCAACGTAGGGTAATGTACGTGCATAAAAACTGAATGATTTTGATAAATAAAAGGAAAATTTTGCAATTACGTAATCTTGAAGGAAAAATAATGTTTCTGCATTGCAGGATAGAAAAGGAAACCACTTTTACGTTGGTCTTAGCCACGAAGGGGTAACCGCATTTCGGGGCAATCGCAAGGCACACGTTTTTTCCTGGTATGGGTACTGTTTTTGGCCTTCTTACTTACGTTCCCTTTATCAAACAAATATAAGCATATTTTGTTCTCGAATTAAAAATATTTACTACACAGACATTTAACCGCTCTTATAGAGCTATGGTCATTTACCTGTGATTCTTCCGAACGGGTTCTTGTAAAAGGATAAGAGCTGCCCAAAAATAAGAGAAGTTTTGTACTTAAAAAGGCACTATTGTCAGAATGCGATGTGGAATGGATCTGTGTTTGGAACAATTTATGCTCTAAAAACTGTATTAATTATCTTACTAGCACTAAAATAAGCGACATCTCAAGGCAAAAATTTATAAACCAATGAAATGTAAAATTTTGTCATGCCATGAATTCTTGGGGATTAATAAAAGGAACTAATATTCGTAATGACAAAGATTAAAAGAACCACATTCACTCTCAAGCATGCATCTGACGTAACGAGAAAAGTTTAAATTACTCCTTTTAAACACACTTCGAAAGTCAGTCTTTTTTCCTGGACCTTAGCTAATCCGCTATATCAACATCTATTCTGTTTATCCATTAACTAAGTACAGACAAAATGCAACAAATAAATTAGGCTTTTCAAATTTAATTTAAATATTTCATGAATGATTTGATACCAAATGCTGTTTGATTTTATTAAACTATCAATAAATAAAAGTTTTCATTTAATTCTTCACAATAAGTACAAAATATGCATTGTAAGTTGCTGAATAATATGAATGTTACAACTAACTTTTGTTTTTTCTAAAAGGCCGAAGATATACCGAATAAGCTATGATGGAAAACTGTTTGTCATTCAAGTTGAATGGGAACAAGTAAGTTGAGAAAGACAGCCTAGACTTCTAATGTTCTTTATTGAAGGTTAAGCTAATTCCACTAATTTTTAGAGAAGACACACTCTTGGTTTTAAATGTCAAACCACAGAGGCTGCAGAAGCATTGTGGAAATGGGCTGTTGATCGACAATGCTTTTTCACGTGAGCACCCATAAAACCTGCCTACTTACACGGTCAAAAGTAGTGCGGCCTGATCAACCACATAAAACGCTTACTTTAGTTTGAACAAGTCAACCGAAGCAAAAACATCAAAGGCAAGAGGTCGTTTATTTAGAAAACGTCAACTCTACTCATTCACGTATGTAGCTTGTTCAACCTTTGTAAGTGCTGCTAAATCTCTCTAAAAATTTGTACCTTCTTCCAGAGGACGATGCCAAAAGGAGATGCTTCAAATAACTACGTCAATGCCAAACATTCCACAGCCCAGTGTATCTAGGTAAGTTGGCATATACGAATTTGTCAAGGAAAAAGTTCCATGGTGTTGTGTAATATTCGGTTTTACAAAAATCCATGATGTTGAAGTGATTTCTTTTTCAGTGACGATCAGAATTGAAGACAGCTCATTTTTAATTCCAAGTTTGACGGTGATAGGGTGGTAAATTTTAATTGGTGTATGTTATTTAGGAATTTTCTTCTTGGCTATAGTTGGTAGCAATTCACATTCATGTCGTTATTTTAAAAAAAGTACTGATCCAAACCAGGCGACCAAACAAGTCCTTGTGGTTGTTGGTATAACTCGTAGTTATGGTTTGTTGTAGCATCTAGGAATTTGTAAAGCATATGGACTTTTATATCCACTCATTACAACGTCGGGACCCATATCAATCTTATTTCAAACGCTTAAAGCATCAAATGCC